TCTATCCTTCCTTTTAACTATTTTCAACCACATATGGACGTCAGGAAATTTTCCTTCTCATTGGCGAGATGCTCTTATCCTACCTTTCTTAAAACCCAATAAATCAGGTACCCTACCCCAAGATTACCGCCCCATAGCTCTAACTAGCTGCTTGTGCAAACTACTCGAACGAATGGTTAACTTCCGCTTAATGTGGTATCTTGAATCTCATAATCTCCTTTCCCCTTCCCAGTTTGGTTTCCGACGTGCCCGAAGTACAGCAGACCCACTTGCCCATTTCGAGACATATATTACATCGGCATTTGCACGCCATGAATCCGTATTAGCCATATTCTTTGATCTAGAAAAAGCATATGATACCACATGGCGATACCATATCCTCCAACAATTGTCCTCCTAAGGGTTATGTGGAAACATGGGCGTTTTCATCAAATCCTTCCTTTCTAAATGTACCTTCCAGGTCAAAATTGCCTCTTCCACGTCATCATCCTTTCCTCAATTCGAAGGCGTCCCACAAGGAAGCGTGCTTAGTACCACTTTATTCCTTCTTACTGTAAATGCATCTGGCACATTCATACCAGATCTCTGTCAATTCCTACAGTCTGCAATAACATCAGTAACTTCTTAGGCCACCAACCATGGTTTTCGCTTCTCTACCTCTAAATCTTTCCCCATTCTTTTCTCTCGCTCACGTACGGTTCCCAAACCCCCACTCTTCTTATATAACGCTCCACTCCAATACCGTTCTTCTGGCAAATTCCTAGGCGTTATATTTGATTCCAAATTGTCCTGGCGAGACCATATCTTGTACATCAAAGAAAAAACTCAACGCCGCCTCCGAATCTCACAAACTCTTTCACACATCTCCTGGGGCTCAGATCGCAAAACTCTCCTCCATCTTCATGTTACCTTGATTCTCTTCACTCTAGATTATGGATGCCATATCTACTCCTCTGCCTCAACCTCTCTTCTTGCTCACCTTGATACAATCCACCACAGCGGTCTCCGCTTAGCCCTAGGCGCCTTCCGCTCCTCTCCAGGTGAGAGCCTATATACTGAATCTGGCATGCCGTCCCTCTCTCGACGTCTATCACTTCTCTCTCTTCGATGCTATGCTCGATTTCACCAATTTTCCCTTACCAAACTAACTATTCCACAATCCTTACTTCATACCTTTACCTCTTCTCCACGTTTACCAACTCCTCTCCCCGTATGCATGGATACCCTCCTCTCCCATTCCCCCTTTCCTCACCTCCAACCTCTCCCACTTTCTGTCCATTCCATTCCTCCATGGTTTATACCTAACCCCTGTATTTGCTCCTCAGTTTTCCCTGACCCACCAAAATCAGATATCCCCCCTCTATCCTTCTCACTCATTTCCTTGACCATGCCTCCATTCATTCCTCCAGCATTCATGTTTACACTGACGGTTCCAAATCCATCTCAGGAGCTGGATTCGCAGTAACATTCCCAAACTGCACTTTCAGATACACCCTCCCTCCTGAATCTAGTGTCCTTACTACAGAACTGTATGCACTCCTTTTTGCCTTAAGACGCATATACTCATTCCCCTCTTCCTCTTTTACTATTTTTACTGACTCTTTAACCCTCATAAAGTCTATGCACTCGACCAATCCCCTTGTCTGTAAGATCCAGAACTGGTTGTTCTATCTATCCACACGTCACAAATCTGTCAGATTTTTCTGGGTACCCAGCCATGTTGGAATCCCTGGCAATGAACAGGCAGATACTCTTGCACGCTATGCCGCAATGTCCACGTCACCTTAACTACGCTTCTCACATATTCAAGCTACGGATTATTACCCCCACTTTAAAACCTTCTTGAATACCCGATGGCAATCTTTTTGATCAAGACTCCACAACAATAAATTACATACTGTAAAACCATCAATCTCTTCTTGGTCAGCTCCATTTCACAAAAACAGACGTTGGGAGACGGCCCTCGCACGCTTACATATTGGCCACACACGCCTGTCTAATGTCACGCTCAGACCCGCCCCTATGTCCTCTATGTAACGTCCCTCTTTCAGTTCCACACATTCTCTTGTCCTGTCCACGCCTTAATACAGCACGTACCTCTGCTTTTCCACACCTATCCCCCCTTCACCGACCTCCCAACATATCAGACATCCTTACAGAATCCCACAGCTTCTGCCTTGACAACCTGTTCTCCTTCCTCAGACGCATAAATATCCTTCAGTTGATCTAACTCCCTTATCTAAACCACCATAACCTTTTCCCCCATCTTTAACCTTTCAATACTACTCTAGATAGTTGACACATAGCAACAATCCCCCTTTACAATACCTTCCTATAGTGCTATATGACCTTAGATGTCTAGCACATTTATTTTAACCATTAACCATTACAAATAAGGGGATATGAGATAAAGAACAGGAAAAAATATAAAAAGATGAAATGAAATCAAACAAAATAAAAATAGAAATTAATGTAGAGTATACACATAAAGATGGAAATTAAGAAAATGATGAAAATAAAATTAAGAGAGTCAAAATAAGAATAAAAATATAAGTAAACATACATATATACATGCATACATATATATGTATACATAAATGTATACATACATCCATATATAAATACACATTAAAACACACACACACACACACACAACCACACACACACACACACACACACACACACACACACACACACACACACACACACACACACACACACACACACACACACACACACACACACACACACACACAAATCGTCATGCCACGGGACGCTCCGTGTGTGAGATGATCAAGCGGTATGATACTTTGACCCGATGGATTTTCGTACGCCTGACAACGCCGATGCTCCGCCCACTGACTTGAAATAATTGCAAGTATTTGGCGCTGCAGATAAAGCCTTATCATTACTTCATTGATAATGATAATAATTATTATACTAGAAATAAGTCATTTTTTTTTTGAAATAGAAACAAACAGAAAACAAATAACTGAAGAAAAATATTAATGGAAAATAATACAATAATCGTAATTGATATCTAATTAAGATTGTCATCACTGCTATAATAACTATTATTATCATTATGACATATGAAAAATATCATTATCCAATCAAATCATTATTAGCGGGTCCCGTAGAAATTTCACGGCAGAGAAGAAAAGGCATTTCTCCCTTCCCTCTCCCCGTCTTTCACCCTCCTACTTCTCGCCACCTCTTCTCCCTTTCCTCTCCCTTTCCCGCTCGGTCAACTCCTGTCAACTCCCAATTATTCTTTATATTCGCTCTTCCCAGTTCAAGCTTTGTATGTCGTGGTATGTCTTAATCTCATGTTTAATAATTATTAGGTAATTTTGCTTTGTAAAATATTTCTTTGTCAACTATATGTTTTGTGTTGAGCTTTTGAAGGTTATGCCGATAACCTAAAAGCACAGTCATACCTGGCACATTCTCTGTAAAATGAAAAAAAAAAAAAGTTATTTGGCCAAATGAATACTTTCAATTTCAATGGCATCAATTACACTTTCTTCTTTACCTTTTCCACCTCTTTCGTTCCCCTTATCCCCTTCCCTCCTTCCCCATTCGCCTTTTCCCTTCCTTCTGTTCCAGTGGGGGGGGGGGGGGCGACGAAGGGGCGGTGGTCCCGGGCATCCAGTCAGAGAGGGAAATAAGAAATGAAATTTATCATTAAATCAAATAAAGTGTTTGTTTCATGTTACATCGGTGTTTACATATTCTTCATGTTTCTCAGAACTAAGCCTTATACTTGAGTCTTTGGGGCAAACAGTCCAGATGGTCCCAGGCCTTACTATCAATATCAATAGTACTTGAAAAAAGACTAATATTATATCATTGATAATGGTTTGATTATTAGCATTAGCATATCATTATCATTATAATCATCATTGTCCTTATCATTACCATCATTATTATCATGATTTTAGATAATAATGATATCGTTATTATGAATATAATGCATGTTATCAATACTATTATAATCATAATTTTCATTCTTACCGTTATCATTATTTCTAACATTATTTTTTTTTGTCAATATTATCCTTATTATTATTATCACTACTATATATTATATTAATATTATTGTGATTACTACAATTACTGATATTATTATTATTACTGTCATTATATCATCATGATCAGTATCATTATCAACATTACTAATATTATTATCGAATTCATATCAATTTTAATACAATTTTTATATTCACAATCGTCATCATCACAATAAGTAAAATCATAATAATTAATAACATTATCACAATTATACTATTTGGAAAAAAATACAAGGAATGGGATCATTCCACGAGTCCAGCTATAGACCTACTATAATCTGTTCACTCAAAACTCTGAAAGCTAAGTGGACAGAGCCCTTGGGTGTGGCTGGTGTGTGGAAGCCAGCCCGGGAGGCGCGTGGAATGGGGCAAGGTCTTTTTAAGTACTTATAGACCTTGGAATAGAGTGTCCCTTCGGTTACCAGCTGGAATGTTAGACCGTTGGCAGAGGCTTTTGATCTAGGAATGGCCGGTGTAGATGACACTGATGGTAATAATTAATGATGTTAGTTTGGTTAATAATGATGACGATGATGATAATGATAATGGAGAGCATGATGCCCATGACGATGAAGCACGTTTTTTATATAGTATAAAACATGGATTATACCTAGAGATAATGATTAAACACAATGTTGTTTGGATAAACCTCCACCTCATCATTCAAGAGATCTATTTTTGTCGCTAAAATCATCAATAATCTATCCTCATCTACCCAAACCTTACATAAAAAATCAACCCTTCTAGATTCTTTGTGAATCCCTTGCCACTTTTTTTACGCTGCAATCTTAACATTTGTTCGTTTACCTTGGATCATAGTCCAGCTAAACCATTATTATCCATAACAACCCATCAGTCAATCAACAAATCAATAAAGGCATCGATTATATTAACCTTGTTCGTTTAGTGGAGGTAAAAAAAATGCGG